GGATGTTGGCTAGAAGCCAAAAAAAGAAAAAAACCCTGAATTCTTCTGCATGGTTGGTTTCTGGAGAAGTCACCTAAGCATCAGTAAGTGTCAGAGGAAATCAAAGGATTTTAATTTCAGGAAAAACTGGGTCCAAAAAATTGCTCTCAGTGCATAAGCATGGTGAAGATGAGGTGACTTTTTGTCATTCCCTGATTCCAGGAACTGTCAGGGGCTACAAGAGCCTCAGCTGAAACAGCATAAACTGGAGGACTCTCAGAGTTGCTGTAAATCTAATGGCTGATAACAGACTTTACAGAAGTAAAAAGAAATTTAGAAATCAACAGAGCACACATGTCCTCGGCATGTAGCTTGATACGTGCATGCCCAATTTTGGGGTCTTTACTAATCTTAGTGTTGGTTGCTTACTGTACAGTGAGCATTGTATTGTATTTCCCACTTTCTTTTGAGATTGAGTTTGAAACAGATTCTAAAGATGCATCAAACAATTTTGTAGGGGCATCTGTGAATTTATACTTAGCAACTAAGGAAAACAGTGTTGTTATCCAGCCACTGCAGGCACCGGCTCCTTCAGAGCTAAATTCAGTAAAGGTGGAAATCAACATTTTAAAGGTGCCTTTTGTGGCATTCAGAAAATGCAGATAATTAATTTCTGAGCAGAAGTAGGGGCCTAGGCCAAACACACCAGGATAAAAAGTCAGTGCTCTTCAGTCTGCACATTAGGCTTGCCAGCAAAAGCTGGATTTCATCAGAGCTATGTCATTAGCACCAAGTGAAGTCTTGCCACTCAAATCTTCCTGTGGCCAGCACACAGGGACAGAGGACACGGATGCTTTGCTGGACTGAGAGATGGCACTGGAAAAAGCTGCTCAAAGGAGAACTGATGTTTGCAGGGCCAGGAAAAGCCTCTGGCTAATGCAACACAAGGTGGTGGCAGTGCAGGGGAGGTGAAAAAAGCCCCATTCCCTTGGGAAGAACAGAGGCTCAGTAATGTTCCCTTCTGGGAATGCTTCTGGACTGCACAAGATACTTCTGCATAGAAAAACACAACATGTGCTTATCGGTTATGGTAAAACATATGCCAATTTAATTTTTAATCTTTCCTAGATCTCTGTCCCTATATCTACAGTACCAAGATTTATAAATTATAAAGACAGAAAAATATCTCATTTATCTGCATATATTTATTAACACCAGGATTTTACCTAGTTTTCAGCTATTGGCTGAAAAGCTGTCTTTAATTTTTACTCAATATGAATTCATATGACCACTACAGTGTGTTCTGGTCATTGATGTGGTTTGGGGCATCTACACAATTAACTCATTGCACATCAGTGGCATGTTGAGTTTTTCCTAACAATTTATGTGGAAGCATATAACTTTACTACAATATATGAAGCATGTCCAATAAAAGGAACATTGATGGGTACTTCAGTTCTACACTGCATCAAGATTTCATACAGGCTAGACCAAGAAGAAAGAGAATTTGATCACTGAAGCAACTATATCCTCCAAATCTTTCCCAACAATCTATATCCATAGTTAAAACAGAGAAATCAAAATAAATTAAATCTGAAAGCTGATGCACAAGATCAAGAGTGAAAGAAAATAAGTTATTTACTGTGTTAAGCATTTAAATATATTTGCAATATTGGCCACATCACAGTTAGTAGGGCTGAAAGCAAGGATGCCCAAGTTTAAAAAAAAAAACAAACCACAAAAACTTAAGAGATCAACATACCTCCCCAAGACTGCTATGAATCCCAGATTTCTGAGTTTGAGGTGATACTGATACACAGTTTTGGATATAGTTATATAAATTAGATCTCAAATCAAAATGTCACTTTCTTGTCATTGTTTTCCTTTCCCTCAGAGCCAAGAGCATTGGCCACTGCTGAAAACAGCCTTGGGACCAAGCATCCTGCAATTCCCTTAGCTTCCCAAGTCCCACCAGCTCCAGAGGTTAGTCTTTTATGTTTAAGATTAGATGGATGTGGATGAGACAACTCCACTGTCTCAATTCCAGTCATGCCCATGTGCTATTTTGTAAATCCAGCCAAAACCAGGCTTACTTTACTCTCCTGTATTTTAAGGGCATCTTTGGCACTATGACAAAATATGAATCCTGTTGCACAGTTCTTAAAAGCTGCATCAACAACATTTGTCATCTTAACTTAAAGTGCTGATGAAGATGAATGAGCTCAAAGTGAGAAATCACAAGGGCAAAAGCTTTGCAACTCCTTTCAGACAACTCTTTCGTGGGAACATGATTTAAAATATCTCAACAATTCACTTTTCTGTAGAAGTCCACAATAAACATATGGAAATTTAAAGTCAGTACATAGAAGCCAGAAATATCCAAAGGAAGACTGTGACCTGCCACTGTGACTCCTAGAGGCTAAGTCTTTCACATTAAAATGTCCTGATTCAATAAAGCAAAAAAGAGTATAGTATGGCAAAAAGGTTTTCATTTCCACATCTCTCCATCATTGATCAATACTTTGCTTCCTATGTTCTCTGAAAAAATGATGTAACATTAAAGAATTTCCCAACATTCAAATAGTAATTTAACATCTTTTAGGCATTTAATAAAATAAAAAGGTAGAAATTAGTTATTTGATACATAATATTGCAAATATTGATCTTAGTATAGACTTCCATGACTCATGAACTCCATAATGCATAATAGAATAAACCTAAACCAGTCAATTCACACAATTCTGCTGTCATCACATAAAAGCTTGGCTCCACTTTCATTTATAGACTCTCACAAAAACTTAGTCCACATTATAATCTCCCTTTCACTAACTTTCCATTTAATCTGATTTTACAGTGGTGTAAATTACATCCATATGAGATTCAGGGTACAATTTCTATTTACCAGCCATAAAGTTTTTTCCTAGTAATGTACTCTAATTCCTAAAAGTGGTACCTAAATTATGCCCATGAGAACTTCAGTGTCCTCACTAAGCATACTGTAGGCAATCCAGTTAAAAAGATGCTGTGATTAGGCTTTGTCTTACGTTTGCCTAAATTATTCAAATTCTTCAGCAGCTTCGATCAGAGGGCATAGTGCTGAGGTGAACATTGTAGATGCACATTCACTTGCACATGTAGGTGCAATGATATCTGCACATGACATTTTCCTGTGTGATTTGTACATGCCATATGGATCTTTTGCACATGCAAGTGACATTGTGCAACACACGAGCTTGTGCATTCACATACAGAACACTGCTGTTCTTCCTCACCACCAAAATGGCCTAATGGGACCAAACCCAGAGCCAGCAATGCTAGATCTAGAGCACAGTCCTGAGTGCATGTCAAAGCAAAAGAAGGGCTGATCAGACAGCTGTTTCTTTCTGATACCACCAGCTACCTCCTATCTATACCAGAGCTAGTGTAGAAATAGCATCTGTGTCAAGGTGCCATAGACAGATGTTTTGGGGTCACTCTGCTGTGTCTTGGTGACAGCTGGGAATCAAATTCTTTTATATAAAGTGCCTTTATATGTTGAGGAGGCCTCTCACAAATCATAGCTAGTGCATCTCTTAATAAACTTTGAGGAGGCACCCCTAAGGGAGGAGAGATAAGTAAAATTTCCGAACTACTGTACATACTGTTCATATGACAGTCCTGTTGTGGTGGAGAAAAGAGTCGAGCTAACAGAGCTAAAAGTGAGTAATGATTACACAAAAACTCCTTTTCTGGTTTCATTGTAGTATCAAACTATAGCTACTCCCTTCATGGATGCATCTGCTACCATCTGAAGGGTCAAGACTTATCCACCTTGCCTATGTGATAAATGCACCCCAGTGGGTGCAGCTAAATGGACTGAGTAGGACTTGGTCTTCAAGCAGAATATAAAAGCATCTTTAAACAGTTCAGTATCAGATGCAGAGCAGCACGATAAAAGTAATGTTCACCTTTCTAACAAACAGAAAAGATTCCTCTTCTGATGTCAGATGTACAGATGTCCTTCATGGACATAGCTTTTGCAGACCCTACAGCATGTCTCTGTCAGGAGGAACCACACTGACCTAAAGGACCTAGCAAACTAGGGATGCTGTAATTCAGCCTCAGCCTCTGACACTGTACATGTACTTACATGTACAAGTACTTAGAGTGCCTCGAAAAATATTATGTAAAATCACTGTGGGGGGCAGGGGAGGGAATGGGGACAGAGGAGAATAAAAGTAGTCTTTTTCAAGAATGAGTGTTTGACCTGAAAATTGCTAATGGGAAAAAAAAACTAATTCAAGAGGTTCATAAGTATTGTAACAGATTAGAAAAGGTTGGGTTTTTTTCTGGACAAAACTTTGCTCTTAAAAACTCAAGAGCCTTGAAGTTTTGATTAATGCTAGTTAAATACACACATATATATGAATTAGTGTAGGCAGTATTTTATTAGTATTTTTAGGCAGTAGTAGTGATGCTAGTGAGAATAAAATATAATGCATTAGACAGCATCAGTCTCTGAACCTTCCTAACACCAAAAGAAAATGCATATATCACAGGGCCACTGAGATAAAGTAACACTCAGCCCTAGAGGGCACAGATTTCGTCTTTATGTAAATCAGTGCCTGTCACTGCATGCATGATTCACTGCTCAGAGTGTACTCTTCTGTGACGAATGAGTCCCGCTTAATTTGGCAGTGATTATGCGGGTTGCTGGCCCTCTAAACCCCTTTGAACTTGTAATTGCTGCTGGTTTAAATAATGAACATTAAGGGGAGGTGGATTCATAAAACTGTGGATAATTACAATTTTTTTCTTTTTTCCTTTGTTTTTTCTTTTTCTTTTTTCTTAATGGAAAGAAAAGGCTTCGGAGGCCACTGACAACTGTATCGTACCAGGCTGTTGCTGAAATAAAACTGCAGCCTTGTTCAGTCTTGAGGAAGGAAAGGGAATGGAAAGGAGAAGAGGAAAAAAAGAGAGGGAGATCAGAATGGCTTGGATGCCAGTAGAAAAGGAGGAGCAATGTTATTCATGAATATTCATAGCCAGTCACATCTGTAGCAGGCTTGCTTTCCACCTTTTTTTCTTTGCAGTTCAACATGGACAAGAAGTGCTAACAAAAGAAGGTGATTGTGCAGTTCTATCAGGCTCCAGGTTTAATCTTTACAGAGCATATGGGTGAACTTTTTTTTCTAATTTTCAAAGACTCACATATTTTAAAAGTTGTGAATGTCTTTAACCAAAGGAAGTGCTCCCTCTCCCTCCCCCCGCCCATGCTGCTTTTTAAAAATTATGTTCCTGTAATTATGAATGTGAGGGAGTCAGTTGCCAAGGAAGCATGATGTGTAACATGCAGCAAATTTGTTCCTCCTCCCCTTTATGAGCACTTTACTAAATCCTCCAATATTCTTTGATCCAGTAAAATTTTGATTTGCGTGTGTAATGTATTGAAACAACGATGACAACAAAAATTGTTATTGAGGAGGGGACAGAAACCAAAGTCAGCCAAGTCAGGCAGCTACTACCCAGAAACAACAAAGAATGAATGATAAATTTAGCAGCCTCATGTTCAATTTTCAAACAACACAGCAGAGATTTATAGCTTTGCTGCTCCCATGGTAAACGAAGCAGCACACAGAAAGCGTGTCTGTTTTTGATTTTGCTATGTTTCCCCCCTTTTTTGTTCTTTGCCTATTTGCAGTTGGGTTTTTTTTTTGTTTTTTTTTTTTTTTAACTCTACATTTTCTTTATCCTGGTGTGAGATGAATATCAAAGGCCGAGTGCTGTTGGTAAGCCTCCAGCATACAAGGGCAGCTCAATGGGATGTTATTAGAACCTGCGTCACAACACGGCAGACTGTGATTAATAGCAACTGTATCAACGGTAGCAACTTCTCAACAACGCCCTCCAGCAGCTCCGAAGGGGCCATGCGAAGAAGAAGGGAGGGGAAAAAGGGGAAAAAAAAAGAAAAAAAAGTCTGCAAGAACTAGCTACTCAAGGTTTAGCTTTGCACATGATTAGGTTATGTCAAAGCTGTGCGAATGGTTTCTACCAGGACACAGCGGGGATATTTATTTAAAAGCGCTCTATCAAATGTATGGGCTGATCAGTGTTTTATTTTGCCAGAATCAATCATGTGAAGAACAGCAATGGAGAATAGGACACTGAAAAGACATGGAATGGTTAGAGTTTTAATTGGGGTTCCCTTCAAATGAAGAAGAAAAAATTTTCCCGACACTTCAAGACAATTTCTTAGAAAACTGCAGAGCTGCTAAGTTTTTCCTGTTACTACATGAAAGAAAGCAGGTTTAATTTAAAATCAGGTGTAAACTGATATCCTCGCTCTCTCTCTTTCTTCTTCTTTTTTTATAATACAGTTTAGAAAGTTAGATCCACACATCAAGAAATGTAAAGCTTATTCGAATGTCCCATTCCAATTCCACATCAGAAAATAGTCCAATAAATGTCCTCAATGATTCAAATAATCCAAAATTAAGCTCTTCCCACTGTAGCTCATGAATATATGGTTTGGTCCATAGCAGGCCCAAAAATAAAATGTAAATGCATCAGTGGCTCTTAAGCATTACACTCTGGATATAAACTTCCAACTCGGAAAGTCTTTAAACTTCTGCCCACTAGAAGCCTGGAGAACATACTGGGACTTCTGGGATCTTCCTACACTTGCACCATTTCTTGGCCTCATCACCACTCACTGCTGACCCTTATCTGGCTCAGTGGAGCATTTGTCTGGCCAATAAAGCAGATTTTATTTCGTGAAAAATAAGAAAAAACCACTTCTTAGAATACTTCTAAAATATTTAATGCTACCTGCTCCTTCTCACTAAATTTTGCTGCCACTTAGTAGTTTCCATTTCTGTGAACAGCATTTAAAATGTTAATCATTCTGCCATCTTCTGTCTCTCAGATAGAAGAGGTGTAATGTTCACCTACAGATGTAAATGATGTTAGTAATTTCAGTCACAAATTAGATTGTTGGCATAGTATTTAGACTAAAAAAAAGCATGCAAAACTTTAAAATGTATATATTAGCATTGAAGCAGAAGAAAAGCAGTGGAAGACTCATGGCTGATTAGGAGAAAAATTATCAGCAGGTGAAAAGAAAAAAACCAAGCAAACAAATTAATAGCTCTGTAAATTAGATGGAATGGTTTGGAGTGAAAAGGAAAGCTGTGGTACACTGGTATATTGTACTGTCCTCGTTCAGTAGATAGAATAACATAGTCCCACTGCTGTTGGACTGCTGTGCTGTTGGCCTCTTTTCTATCAAATGCTCCTCTCATCCTTAATTGTCACATAGCTCTACTGAGAAAGCAGGGGTTATCCAGTGTATTGAAGTCCAGAAGCAAATGAACATTTACACAATGCTGCAAATCAACACCTGCTGAGCTATAAATAAAAAATAATAAACCTTAACTTCATTAGAAAATGCAAGTAACTTTTTATTTCTTACTCAAAAACACGCAGCTTGCTCAACAAAGCACTGAAATATGCTATATTTGTGCCAAGGACTGCAACACACCCTTCAACCTGTTTATCTTTGAAGACCATAATTAAGGAGGACAAACTGGTTTACAGTATACACAAGTTACAAAATAACTGCATTCAAAATTTTTCTCAAACACTAATTTTCCTTATCTAAAAATCTTACTTGATTAAAATCATGGGGCAATTAGCAGTTGAGTGAAGAAATTACTTTCTGTTGCAAAAAGACAGTCAACATTTACAAGTTCTACAAATGAATAATTCGGGCTCAGTTCTCAGCTGTATCCAAGCACAAGGAAACCAAACCTTTCTGCTGTTCTGATCTCAAGGCTGGATGGAGCTAGTCCAGTACCTGATACTGTTTAGTGCTACCTCCCATGTTTGTTGGAGCACTCCTGCTAAACCTTTTCCACACAGGAATCACCTCAGGACTTTCATGACTGCCCAGGCACACTTTGACTCCAAAATGAGGGCAGAAGCTGGTAAGATGACCACCCATTTTAATAACACATACCCCTCAACCTACCACTGTTGCCTCTGCTAAGAAATTCTGATGGTGGCCTTGCTATGCTATCCTCAGTTTTCCTTATAATGGTGCGATATTCATACAGAGGAAGCCTCTGATTTCTTGGTCCTTTAAGACACAATTCTACAGACTCAGATAAGTATTTTTCTTTCTCAGCAAAGAGGACTGATGGAAGATTACCTAGCAAAAAATGGCAAAGTGGAACAGGGCGACTATGGAATAACTACCACAATCATGAGGTAGCATAGACACCTTTCACAAAGATAGGGAGAGTGAGGGAAAGGAGAAATAAGCTTTTTCCTTAATCTTTCTCTAAGATTTAGCCAATTACGCCACGAGAACAGTATACACAGCAGAGCAAGGAGCAGAGCCATCACCAAAAGCTCATTGCTACAGGTGAAAAACAGTGTAGATCACCGAGCCCTCTAGCAGAACAGTGTCAGACCAGCAAGTGTCCTCTGAGCTCCCTGTGTAGGTAGAGGGCCACAAAGCTGTGGCAATGTAGCTTTGAAAGGTTGATGTCTGATAATGGCTTTTTCATCAACATCCTATCTGCATTTCCAACCACAGAAGTTTGCTCTGCACTTGAGGTTTCTAGGGTGGATGAATGAAGACTGATGAGAGAGGATGAAAGAAGATGTGGAAACCCTCAATTCCCTAAATTCTCATCCCCTGCACCTTTTGTTTTGCTGAGCAATGAATAAATAATCAGTACTAATGTCATTAAAACAATTACGCTATCTCAGGGTCAAATTCAAACAAATGCATGACCTGACTGGCCTGCAGAAATGCATTTGAGTACAGTTGCCACCTAATCTGGAATACTGGTGATCTCTACATTTGAGCTAAACCAAAATTATTTCTGCTAGGAACATGAGAAAAACTGGCACAAAGAAAAAGCTGTGACATGAAGCATTTGCTTGGAACAAGTACAACTTACTCCTGTCTTCTGTATCCTCCAGTGTGATTTTCAGAAACAATCAAAACAAAAGTGACAAAACCCAAAAACCACAATGAGCAAACAGCAGCTTTTAAGTGCTGTGGGAACAGAGACGTTTGTTTAAGTAACCACTGTTTAAAAAATGCATACATAGTAACACCAAAATAAACAGCTTGCAATGTTGTTTATTTTAAGATACACAATAGTAATGTAAAGTGCTGCATGCTCTGAATTTAGGGTATACTAACATTATTTACAGTTGTGAAGAGCAGTAGGAAAACTAAGCTCCATGCCAGAAGACTCCTTGTTTGGAGAGCAAAGGTCAGTTTTCACTGCTTTTGCAGCTAAGAGGATTCCAACATGCAGCCACAGAAAGCTCCTGCTCTCATTTCTCAAGCAGGTAACTTCTGAACCGCATATGAAAATCCTAAAAAAGGCCTGTCATGCCTATGGCATCTTTAAAATGGGTATGTAAGCCCATTCCTAGGAAGTATAGTTAAGAGGAAGAGATCTTTGTCCTGTTGCTTCACTTCTTTAAAACCTTCCAAACATGCCTGACTTACTAATCCTGTGTTGTACCAGACAGAAAAAAATACCCAAAAGAAGAAAAATACTAACAAAACTAAGCAGCAGTGTTCTGAAAAGTGACTGACTTACTGAACAGATTTATGTTCCTGTGTGTCTGAATTGCATTTGATTCTCTGCTGACAAAAAAATGCCATTGACTTCAATCCATAATAGAAGTTTGTGATATTTTTCTTCATAAAGCCAGTCTAGCTGTAGGCAAGAAAATGGGATCTTTTTTTCTGGCCAATCCATCGTCTATTTATTATTGTAATTGCATAGCTTTACCATTGTAATGCAACAGTACTGTTATCATATAATCCTTGTGACTACCAATAAATGAGCCGAAAGAATCCGACTTGGATCTAAGATCCAAGGCTAAATTTCTAATTTTGGAAATGAAGGAGGAAAAAAATTTTTTAAAAAAGAGAAAAAAAAAACCCAAACATTTTTCTGCCATGAAAGTGATGTTCATTTGATCTGGAAGACATTGAGATGAACATGGAACCTCACAGTTACATTATTATAATATTCAAGAGTAAAATTTCATTTCAAATTGAAAATATAATCTCTTTCTTCCTGATACTTTTGAGGAAAGCTGTGAGTGAAATTCAGCAGTTGAAGACAGCAGGCACTCAGTCAATATTTTCTTGCGGTCATTCTGCCTCTCTGAGGGCCCAAGTTTTGTTTTTAAATCATGGCATCAAATTGCCATAAATGTCTGTAAGTGAAAAGCAGGTGAAAAAAGCTATGGTTTTCACCCATTTTGGCATTCAAACTTCTGTGTAAATCCATAATCAACTCCATTTTATATTAAATTTCCATTGGATCCATGACCTTAAAAATCAACATTTGTATTTTGAATGCTCAAACAATTTTTGGTGTTTTGAATTGATATTTCATAGAGTAAATGTTGGAGCAGATGTCAGATATTTTGGTGAAGACTAATCTGAGTATGGGTTGATTTCAGACCTGTACCTTACCCAGATATTGCTGAAGCTTCACGAGTTCTGAATAGAGAGCACTGTATGTATTGTGACAGTCTCTGCCTCTGAATATCTGAAAGTGAGGTGTTTTTTACATAAGTTACTCAATACAAAGTTGCTTTCTTTGTCAGTTTGACAGAGCCCAAGCCTGGCTGACCTTCAGTATCCACTCCCAGTGCCTGAAGGAATAGTAATTAAATATTACTCTTAAGCTTAGTTTTTCAATTTGTGTCTCAATCCCATTTCTAGTTTGACTTTGTAAGTTAATTTTGCAATAATTTTTCCACTGACAGATAAATGAAACATCATTACAAAAGTTGAAACAAATACAACATAAACTTAAACCTGAAGGAAGCCAAATTTGGGAAGGTTTCCTTCTGAAAACAGCTCTAATTTCAAGATACTTTTCAGTTTTTAATCATTAATAAGAAAACACGAAAATATGAGAAAACCTCCAGGCAACATTACTTTAGTGTAAGCTCAGGAATGCAAGATGTTTCTCAGCAGTATACCTTCAAATGTTTTTTTGGAGTCTAGTTTTAAAATTGCTAAGCAAAGGCACTTCCCCAGATTGTTCTACAGTCTAAATGACTGGGGTTTGGCTGCTGAATTCCATTATTCCTGCAAGGTGTTTTGTTCCTCTTCAGTAATTTCTCCTCTTATCTCTTTGCAGCCTGTGCTTATTCACTGCTTCAGTATACACATTCTCTGTCTAGGGCTAGATCTTGTATTTTTGGGATGGATGAAAAGAGCACTGGAAATAACAATACAGCTCTCGTTTGTCTCATCTTTTTCAGCCTCTGTTGCCCTTTTTGGGGAATAAGGGCCCTGATAGTCCAGGCTCTCCAAACATCCTTCTGTATCTTTCTCAGACTCTCACCAGACTGGCCTCAGGCTAGTTTCATAATCCTCAAGAAAAAAAACCAGTCCCGATGTTCAGCATGAGATCATAACACGGTGATCTCACTCTGAACATTACCTTTCACTACAGCAGCTCTATTGACTTCTTTGCTTAGAACAGTTTGAATTTCCCACCAGCTCTGTTGTGTGATATTTGGCCTCTTTTAGGCAAGATATTTTTTCATGGAGTGAGCCTAAAGGGTACTGAGTAGAAAGCTCATGAGTCCTCAGGCCTTGTTTTAAAGAGTTTTCAGTCTCAGCAAGAAGTTTACTGCAGAGATTGTTTGGGATGCAGTAGAGGATGTTAGAGCACTGCTGAATTGAAGAGTGCAATATTTTATCTTTTCAGCTGGGGCTTCAGACCCCAGGAGCCAAACTCATGATAGTTTCATAGCTCTATGGTTATGTCTATTTGTACCCATTCTAGAAAATCACCACAGTCCTGCTCATTTGTAGATATTTTATTCTCCTGCTGCACATATTGTTTTGCACTGGTTCCTTTGAAGCATTATTGCTTTCTAAATGGACAACTTATGGGGAATAAAAGGGAGAGAAAATGGCAAGAGCCCCTTTTCCCACAAGGTTGGTTGCATCCAAGAGCATTGTGGGATGTAAGTTCATAAAAGCCAGGACAGCTAAGATTAATTATAGCAGTAAATTATCTACAAATGTTTTGGTTAGATATGCATTAAGTAGTGGGGTTTTCGGTCTGAGAAGTGTTTGCTTGGCATTTCATGGCCACCATACAACAAGTGCATAGGTTCTAGGCTGTTTAAACTTGAGGTGTAAGTGGGCATATTATGTGAAACAATGTGGAATTCTTAGGATTACCCTAAAACTCTGCAGTTCATCCCATCATCCACAGAGAAGTTCATACCAACACAAGAAGCACCTCTCTTTCGGAAGAAATGTTGGATCATGCAGTAAAGTGTCCCTGTGTAACTGCAAGAAATTGAAAACATACAAGTAACAACTCTTGGATTAGTCCACCAAAAGAATAAAGAAGATGGAAGGGAGAAGTGAATAAAATTATTTTCCCTCTTCTTTTTTGTTCACAATAATTAACACGTTTCTCTTTCATTTCCTACTTTATATCTGAAAGAGAAAATCAGAATATTCCTTTATAGTTGAAACTAAAACATTCTTTAAGCATTTAGATTTTGAACTGATCCCTCAAATTAGCCAACTTTCTTTGCAATTAATATGTGCCACCATTCTTATGCAACACTCCTTTGCTGACTCCCTCAAATATACACACGTCACTTTTCTGACAGCATAACATTCCTTATTCCTGTTGTTATCACACATATCATGATCTTTCTCCCTATTCACACTCCATAACCCTGAATAGCCCATTTGTGGACTATCCAAACAGCTGTCAGCTATCTGCATATGGTCCTCAGTAGGCAAGGACCTTTCCAATATGAAATGAGGACTTCACAATATCCCTCCAGCCCCTTACTCTTCACTCTAAGTCACCCTCCTGTTTCCTGTTTCTTCATTCAAGCATGAGTGGGATGCACAAGTGGGAAGCACCTGGCTGAGTCAAAAGAGGCAGCAGAAAGGATCAGGACTGGCTGGAATGCTGCCAAAGTCCCATTTCACATCAGGAGACTCCCAGACTCTTGAGGAGGGGAATATCCACTAGCAACTTCTTAAAGTACAAAGAGACATTGATTAATACCATTACACTCCCTTTACTCTCACTATTGCCTCTCAGCCTGCAGCTGATGCCCAAAATTCCTTCACTTGGTGCTTTCTGGGAAAGATATTTGATAACACTTACATGCAGTAATCACCACATCAGGTCACCAGCAAGGGAAAGACCTGACAAAATTAATGCAAGACTAAGACACTTGCACTAAAGTAACTTGCAGAAATCATATGCTGTCGTCTTCCGTGTAGACCAGCAAAAATATAACACTCTTAATTACATATTAAATCCTCCTTCATAAAGAGAAAATTGTCCTGAACTTTCAGTCTGCCGAAGTTCAGGTATTTGTACAAGCATTGCATGACTGTCATGCTCTTTCAACAGCAGGATAAAACTACAACAGAATTGTAATTTTCTGTAATTCAGCTGTTGCTAAGTAAAAGACACAGGCCCTACACAGTGTTTTTCATCTGTAAATATGAAAAGAACTTCAAAAGGCAGCCACAGTCATTATGCCATACTATTTAAATAGGGAAGCTAAGGCACAGTGTCTTGTTATGGTCACAGCTAGAAAGAAAAGTGCAAACTCCACATGTCTACCAGAGCTCCCTTGTGCTGCACCATGCTGGGGACAGTATTGAAAGCTGGGTCACAAGAGAATGTGACAAACAGTTGAGTACTCAAGACATTTGACTTTCTATCATAAAATGGGGCATCGTTGAAAGAGTTGTTAAGGGTAATTCCTGAATAAAGTGGCTAGAGCATTTAACACTTACTAAGTGTTTTTCTGCTGTCTCCCATTATGATTTCACTACATCTTTTCTGGCTTTTTTAAAGGGATCGGAGCTCCACTGGAATTACTGGAAGGAGGATGCAGACATACACACTTACTCACTAATTTGTGAATTATCTGAAAATATTTGAATACAAAGAATCAAACTCTATTTTTTTTAACTTATCTAGGAGGAAAAATAACTGCTTTTATAACTATCCATATAGGTATACAGCATATCAATTAACAATGTAGCTTACATAATCTTTGAAGCTTTTTAAATTGACATAACAAGCTTAAAATAATCTAGAATAGGCCATGATCTTATGAATATCTACTCCTTTTGCAAATTTAGTATGCATTAAGAAAGTGAACAGGAGCTTTCCCATTGCTATCTGATTTAGTCAGGCAGTATTTCCACAGTATATCCACTTCAGAATATCAAGTTCCCACTTTGAAATTACCAAATAAGAGCTTGATCCTGATGACAGCCAAATTTCTACAGCATTAAAAATAATTGCTGTATGCAGATTTTTTTAAACACTAAGCCAAAATATTTGCTGCTGTTTACTGAGCTACTCAGATTTATTATCCTGAGATTGTAAGAGCAAGTCATGAGATGTTAAACATTTTATGGACATTAGTAGTCAACTGCTACAAATAAAATACATATTTTGAAATGCCATCATAAAAAGGTAAAACCAAGATTTAAAAAAGTCTTTATGGCCTATCACCCAGTATTAGACAAAACAACTGAAATTAGTTTTGGCAGATCTGGGGCTAGCAGTTAAAAATAAATAATAACAAATGTAAAAGCATGAAAACTGTATTGCCATTATGCTTAAAGATAACAGTAAATCTTTAAAGATGTCAATGATTGCTTTAGATATTACAAACAAGTGCTGCCAATCAACTCTAAATTATGTAATGCATGGTTTTCTAGGTATCACAACTCAAGGCAAACTCCACAAAAACAGGAGTAATATTGTCTGCCACAAACTACTCTCTTCATTAGCCAGCAATAAGAATTGACATATCAATTGCTTTGCAGTTGTGGAACTGCTGGCAGAAACACTTTTTTTTTTTTTTTTCCCCAATAACATAACTCTAATTTTACTGAAAACTTCCTTGAAACCAATTGTCCTGCTCAAAAATCTTGAAAAGAAAGTTTTAAACATATCTTGAGGCAAAACAGGTAGTATCACTGGACAAGCAGCAGCAATTGTATTTTCCCTAAAAATATAGATATTTTACATCTACATATAATCATGTGTGCACACTACAGAGAAAGGGAGGAACTATGCATTTTTTGATGACAACAGCTTAGGTAGTGGAACCTGAAGGCACTCCAAAGAATTCTCTCCTCTAGTTGACTGTGATCATGAGCTTCAAAAGCTGCCGTTGACAACATTTATTAGAGCAATAATTTTGGAGTTAAAAAAGTGTTTCAACACTTTACATTCACAAATGCTTTGGTTAAACCATCTTTTGCCTTGCAAGCCTTGAAGCCACAACTCTATATAAACGAATTCTTGTCACTATCGTTTCCTTGTTTCAATTACTTTAAGGAATTCATTAACTGAACTTTGGTGTTCCCTCTTCTTTTCTTTTCACTTACTTCATATACTGCAAAGCTTTGTAATCTGACAATAACAACCAGAGAAAAACAGTGGCTGATCCTATTTTTCACTGTGCCACATTCAGCTTGCTCAGTCAAGGCTTTTTAATCAAGCCTCGGTTAAAACCATGTACATGATTTTTGTTGTTCTCAGGAATCCCCTGTTTGAAAAAGGCAGGTTAAATATTAAATTGGGAAGTAACATCTAGCCACGTTATCTGATGTTTTAGCATTGGCTGACCTCATATGTCACATGGATGAAATTCACCTTACTGCTGTCCTGACACATTGTGCTGCCTGTTGATGAGGAGGAGGCAAAACCAGGCAGGCTGGTATAAAGATAAAAAAAAACAAGAGGAAAAGGTAAAGCCTGAGTAACTAAGATCAGACAGGGTGCTGTGAAAAACTCTTATAGCAGACCTAGAAGAGGCCCATTAGGTAGACTCGACAGCTTAAATTGTCGTAGTAGCACCAAAAAAGATTTTGCTGCAGCCCATCAGCCTGCCATGGATTTGGGGACAGAAAGGGGATGAAAGGGAAAGGAGAGCTGGAGGGGAAGGGTGGTGTGATTCATTTACTTATCCCTCGCAGGATTCGCAATTTGGGGATTCTTTAGGGGGGTGGGGAGGGTGTGTATGTGTGTGTGTGAATTTCACCCTATATATAACTTGGAATCCTATTAGAAAACAACTCAGTGACACTGCAAATCCAGTATTTCTCAGCATGCTATTTTTGAAGCTGAAACACACAACATATTTTGATCTCCAAAGAAGCACAATAAAGATCCCCTCTTCAAAATAAAATGAGAAGCAAAAAAACCCCAATTGCACATGTAATAATTTCCAGGCCGGCTTCCTGTGATTGTATCCGATTATTTAAATTTTGGACTGTCTCTTTAATTTGAGGAGCAGGGAGAGAGGCGACAGATGGCAGACAGAATTGACTTATGTCCTCTATTCTTCTGCAGAAGAAGGGGGAGTGCAGAAAGTTTGATCGAGGCAAAAGCTACAGTACATAGGCCTGGCTATAACTATCTAATAGGTCTTTTGACGGATCGGTTCGGAATATTTAGGTTTTTTTCTCCCCCAGACAGGCTTTGTAACAAACCCACAGTCCTGGAGGTTGCCATGGGTGACGAGAGAGCTGACATCCAGTCCCAACTACAAATAAGCACATGACAAATGGGCCCAGAGCCCTCCGACAGCCCTGAACCTTGGTGACCCCCTAAAAAACCCAGCCTCCCCATACCCCATGCCCCCCCAAAAAGCATTACTGAGTATATTTTTTAAAATCGAAAGCTTGCACTTAATTGGAAACACTGCCGTGTAACCGAAATGCTTAGGACAGCATGTACAAGTAAAAATAAATCATGCAGCATTGTTATTTAATGCGCTGTGACATCATTTCCTGAAATTAAACAGAGATGACACAGATTCAGACAGTCCCTGCTAAGGTTCAGTTCAAACAATTCACAGATGTTTTCCTCCAGCCAGCAGAAAACAATGCGAGACTTAAAGCACTCCTCTCCCTCTGCCCCTCTCCATCTTCCACTCCCTCTCCTCAGCCTTTTCACTGGTACAAGGAGGTATGGCAGTTTTATAATACATGCTCCCGCAAAAATATTCTTTTTTTAATTTAATTACTCAGGCTGTTGTACTAAATAGATGGATCATTGTGTCACAAAAGCATCAATTTTTCAGAAGAAATAACAGATGTCTATGTAACAATGATTAGATTAACCACTCCCAGACAAAGCTAGCTTTTGAGGCCCACACACCCCATGACCCTGGGTTCCCTCTTCTGTAGGGGGTGGATGTAGAAATGTCAGATCTAATCTCAGATTCCATTTTTAAAACAAACAAAGCCCCACCCCCATCCCATTTCAGCTCTTTTCTCTT